TGCAGCAATATTAGCTTCTATAGGGAGCAAATGGACATCCCAAATCCAAAAATACAATCAGATTTCAAAAATTTAAATTTTGATTTTTCGAATTTCTGCCGCCGACTGTGACCTTGCCGACTTCCGGCGCTCCCAACGCGCCATTTTTAGAGCTAGGGAAACGAAATACATACCAAACGATAGAGAATTGATCAAGGAACACGATAGTGAAGGTTTCAAGTCGATATCTCCCACCTTTTTTCCGCAATCGCTGCGGAAAATTTGAAAAAGTCTATTTTTCCGAAAATTTAACCTTTGACCGGTCAAAAGTAGGTCAAATGTTGACCTAGGACCAAAAAATATACCACCAATCGCGAGATCTCGGCGAGAGCAATCCGTTGGTCTTTTCCGCTAAGCTCTACGACGCTCCGTTTTCAAACGCCAAGGGGGGGGGGGTCGCACCAACCCCCCCCCCCCTGCATGGGCGAAGGTGGCAGATCGGCGTTTACGGGCGAGGGTTAAATACAGTAATAGCTGGTGTTCAATTATGTCTTCTATAACTATGCATGTGTTCGCGCTGGGCCGGGCTGTCAGCCCATGGGCCTGGGCCGGGCTGGACTGGGATTTTGCGGCCCGTGGCGAACACTGTCATATGGACTAAATCTACAAAAAATCTCTTTTACAGCAAATATGTTCATATCATGACTTTATTTTAGTGTTTTAACCCTCGCATGTGTAGGGGTATAGTTGGATGGACCCGCCCCCCGGTTTTTACTTTTTTTGTGAATGGTCTCGCTCAAAAAGCGGGCGATTGCGACGAAACTTTCAGTACCCCAGACTTGATTAATTTTATACATACTCCTTTTCTTTCATGACCTTGACCCAAATGTCCTTTGACCCCTGGCCTTTTTCTCGAGACCATGTTTGACCGAAATCGCGATAAGGCGTAAGTCAGATCATATTATCCGCGCGTTTCCAGTCTTTTTTTGTGTTGTAAACGTCCAAACATGTCAAATGATGTTCGTCCCATGCATTACGGTGGGTGCCAAGGTCACGTAAAGGTCAGGTCAAGGTCATTGACCTTTGAGGACCTTGATTTACTTTTTCGAGTTTTACATGTTCCTGGCATCCGTTTGAACATTTACTAAGTAGTTTTAGTGCCTTCGTAACATGTTACGACGCCGTCAGTGGTAGTTGACACCTACTATGGATAGTCGGCAAGACGCCTACTGGTTGACCTGACCTGAACTGACCCGAGCTAGCCTAAATGCATGAACTCATAATCTGTGATCAAAACTAACATGAAATACGTGATCGGTACCCCAAAAAACTCCATAACAGCTTCACTTTATGAATTTCTAGCATGTCCCGAATTTATGCCTTTGCACCAATCTAGTTTACTACAATCTGTTTTATTTATTTATTCATTTATTTGTTTGTTCACTTATTTATTTGCATAATCGCCAACAGAGCTATCTCCACTTAGGTACAGGCAAAGACAGGCTTAAAATCAGTAAATGGAAAAACAGCGTAACATAAAATGAAATATAATAATTGAATGAGGATTTAACTCAACAAGAAATCGTTCGGGTCGGAGCTTTCGAATTGTATTACAATGCTTCGTCAGCGTATCGTAATCGGGTTCGGTCAATTAATTAATCGGGTTCGGGTTCGGTCAAACACTCAATTTTGCGACCGATACCCCCGAACCCGATTACAATACGCTGACGAAGCTTTGTAATACAATTCGAAAGCCTCGACCCGAACGATTTCTTGTGGAGTAAAGTCCTCATTCAATTATTACATTAGCAAACTCCACATCATGTACTTTAGTGAATAAAATAAAATTGTATTTCAATTGAGACAAGTATAATAACACGGAACAAAAATGATAGACGAACGCGTTTCGGCTAAATCGCCGTCATCAGCGCACAGTGGCCCTTTTTCAGAATTAGCACGCATAAATTCAAAATATTTTTTCTCTTCTTTTGAGTAAAAAGCAGTCTAATCGTGTGCAAAACATTCCAAACTATCCGATGGTGCCATTTTTACCTCCTAAAAAATAATTATCTTTGGTAAAACTGACCGCAAAATCGAAGTTTGTCGAGAGGCGCGCGGACACCACCGGCGGACCCTAAAAAGTAGGGTGAGATGAACATCAATTTGTAAGGCTTTCGGTGAGAAAATATTAAAAATTAGTGGCATGGCTGTGAAGCTGAGTCTACGTAGAAGCCCTAGAAACCACAATTTCCATTGTATAAACTTAAATTGATCACTTTTGCCGAATATTGTGAACACAATAACAGGACAATTATTAACTGGAGATGGCGGCATACATATGAAGCTTTATGTTAAGTAGCACACTCTGGGACATATCGTATTATACATCGTTCGAATCGCCGATCTCTTCTGACCATGTCCACCAAAGGGCATCGCGCCATTTTGCGCCATTTTGCTTCTACGGTGGATAACGTGAGCCCGTTCAGTCCGCGAGCGGCTGTGGCTCCTGTTCGATACGACTAAGCTCATTGAACTGGCTCGAAGCTGGTGTCACCTGGTGTGCGCCTAAATGTGGCTTGGCTTTTGCCTAAGATGTGCATATTGAAATGTCATTTAGGCATAACGCTGTGCTCAAGAAAAACTGTCCGATTTCTTGTCGCGTTTGATGTCCAAGCCGCACAAGTCCCGTGGTCGGCTTAAGATCTAACGTCAAAAGCGCCTATGTGTTTGTATTGTTCGCGTCGCGCTGACCTTAGTTGCTGCCCGGCCGGGGCCGACTAACGGTGGCTGGCAACAGCTGTAGATGCGGTCACGTGACGCCCTGGGGCGTCCTGGCGGTCAGTGCAGCGCGGTCGGCTGGCGGGCTCGCCACACTTGCGTTCGGAGCGGCCTAGGCCGGCGGGCGAGCCGTGGGAACGTGCGCCAAATCTTGGGCCGAGCGGCCTGTCGCTGTTGGGCAGAATCTCCTTGGGCAGTTCGTTTCGTTTCTTCTCTTTGCATTGGCAGGAAATACGTCCTTGATCACGTGGTGATGTCTTGCACCACTTGCAGGTAATGTGGGAATTAATGCGTGCTAATTCTGAAAAAGGGCCACTGTGCAGCGTCTAAAAGGAGAACAAGAGGCACACATCGAGCAAATATCACAGTTCAATCGTTTTGATTTTTACATACGCTTTTAACGTGGAGGTGCCGCGACGTTTGATCGAGGGGGTCGGGTGGCTCGTGCGTCCTAACGTGAAACACTGTTTCACGTTAGGAGATGAACTCAGTGCGTTGCTTCAAAGGTTCTTGATAACCAATAAATAGGTGCATCCGCATGCGAATTTTGAATGATCTAAGTTACGTAATTACCGAGATATAGGCCTTTAAACTTTTTCTAATTATTTAGTAGACAGTAGACACCCGTTATAACCGCTGTCAACTTCCAAAATGCGTCAACTGCGTCATAGGACACACGCCGTTGCTTAATCTGAAGCTGACTCGCCTATGACAAAAAATCCCGACTTCAAACTAATACCAGCGAAAATGTCCCACACCCCCGGCCAAATAACCCTGCTGGTTGGGTAATTTAGCCGCTTTAAAGACCTTTGTAATACACCACAACTTCAATACGAAAGTTACTCGATCATTTCAAGTTTACTGTCCAGTAAGATTAAATGAATGAGACACCTGCCAGCGTTGAGGAAATGCAGAAATATATCGTCAATTTTAAGCTACATCGTTTTCTAAAAAAAAGGCCAAATTAGATTACCCCATTCTTCCCTACAATAGTACCTACCTAGTACCTACACGTTTAAACCTGGCCGGCCGAGGGGGGGGGGCAGGTGCCGCCCCCCCATAGGTTTTTTTCGCGATAGCTCCGAACACGCTAGCGATAGAGAGCTGAAACTTAGCATACCTGACCTTTGATTCAAGCCAGATCTTTTGACACCAACCGTATTTTCAGGTCAGGTCAGGTAACTGACCTATGACGTCATAAGTGAGCCTCTGCACGGTCGTCAGATGTCGCAACTTCGCAACGCCCTCACTGCCAGAGGAGCTTTTACAGGGAAATGAAACTTGCAGGATCTAATATCCATTATGAGTCTCATAACTTGTATATCTCGGATTTTTCCTAAAGGTCAATTAAGTCAGGTCATTTTCGTGACCTCACCATAATAAGTCAATGGGGAAAAATGAAAACTGCTATTCTGGCGCCGGGGACGATCTCCAACTATCTCAAGCACACAGAATCGTGTTTTGATGCACTCCTTGCAAGGTAACATGCGTCAGTTTTGCAATGTTGACCTTGCGTGACGTCATTTATGACGTCATTAGGGTCATATTAGTTTTTCGTCAATAACTCCCGATCAATTTAAGCTAGCGAATCGGGAAAGCAACCAATGGACTCAGGAAGACCTGCCGAATCGAATGATATGCGATATTACCTACTTCGACTAATGTCGTGACCTGGGGGCGCTGACCTGACCGTGACCTGAGGTCAACACCTTAAGTTGACCTCACCCAAACAAAAAAGTATACCATTCGACGCGCCTGAACGAGGCGAACACGATGCTGCCAACATCGCGGCTCTGCGGCCGTTTTTTGCGAAGTTATTCACCAAAAACGGAACCGTACCTGGGGGCATTGACGGTTTCTCATCAATATTAAATTAGGTATTCATTCTGAGGGATTACATAATTTTTGTTAGTCCATGACAACTGCCAATAGCAATCCGCGCGTCTGAATCTTTTGTCATTTTTCTTCTGAGCGACGACATATTTAACGATATTTATCAGCGTGTTGGGGTGGGCCAACACCGGTCATGTAATAAAATGAATAGTGTGTGGGAAGGGATAATAATAAAAATATTGCTCTCTGTGACGCCACTGTAGCTCTCGGGCGAACAGCACAGTATGGCCACAGAGAAAGTCACTCAAACCCCCTGCCAGACCAACACCATCCATATAATATTCAGGTCGGCGGCGAAATAAAATTGACCGGGTACATCGGTGATGTCCTCGATAGCATGTAACTCGGCATCAATCTGCATCAGGGGCCACGGCGGCCACCAGGTCCGGGGTCTCGGCGTCCTCAGCTCCCCTGACGTAGGCTAAAACAGTGGATGAGCGTTTGGCTAGAAGGGGGCGGATAAGCTAAACTGCCAAGTTAACCCGCGCCGTGCTGATGGTCATAGTTTTCCGTGTCTTGCTGAGGGGGAGGGGGCGTTTTCACACGTCTAACTCGGCTCCTGGGCCACGTGGTGACACGCGGTAAGTGGCATTCAAATCAGCGTAAAAATAATGAAGAAAATAGTTTGTCGTTTTTTAAGTCAGGTGAAAGGTCCGGTCGCCAAAGGTCAAATTTTGCCTAGGTATGTCAACGTTTTTTCTTCAAAAAGCGGCGCACAACTCGGGAACCAATAGAGCTACCAAGCCGATAACTCAAGAACCAATGGACGCAACAAAACGGACGAGAGGCAAACGAAAGAACGCGACGAGACACTTCCGATGAGTACCTGAAAGTTGAATTTCAAGGTCACAGGTCAGGTCAAGGTCAGGTCAAACACATGAAATGGGCTTTCAGTAGCATGGGTCCAAAACACTTCTGGTAACCTGACCTTTGACCTGACCGAAAACTGACCTAAGTAATTTCGCCATTATTCCTTACGCTTTTTCGAACGTCGCTTTCCCCGTATCGCTACATGGCCCAGGAGCCGAGTTAAAAAGGGGGGGGGGGGTGTTCAAACACCCCCGCCCACCAGCAGGGCGTGTAATTCTAGGACCCCCAGCGGGGTGCGGGTTATGAAATGCATGCATCATGGTCGTGCGGAAGTAGTCACGAGAAATTGCCAAGATTCCGTTCAATAGTTTGGAAACCGTAGAACGATAGGTAACCAAAAATCGAAGATGGCAATTTGATTGCTCATGGTATTGGCAGTCCAATGACGTTTACGGCATGTCTGTATGTCTATTCTGTGATTTTATACCATGATTTTTTAAACATGTGTCGTTTTTTGTCGAAAACTTAAATCATGATGTCACTACAACCTCGATATCTCAAAAAAATTTGGACCGATTTTTTGAAACCTTTGTTACAATAGCCTTCTATCAATTCCCTACATGCACCTACCTACACAAAATTTGGCACACACAAAAAAACATCGTCTCTATGTTAAAATTCTGCACCAGCAATATTTCAAGTGTTCGTGCTTACAAACGGGCCAATTGTCTATATGGACTCTCAGCTGCTCCCGGGTCATGCGCAGCGCCTCGCCGACTGAACGTAGCCAGGCGACAAGCCAGCCCGTCACCGCAATAACGGCGCTGCCCCTCCCCCCCCCTCCTCCCGACCCCGTCCCCCGACCGGCGCGGCATTCCTCAGGCCACAATAGTGACTCCCCTCCCTCAGCTGACCCGTCCTCAGGTGCGGTGTACACTGGACAAATACCTCTGCCGGGGCTGACGGGGTCCATGTTTGAACAAGGGATTAAGGGAAGCCTTCAAACATCTCAGACGGAGTTTTCGCCGAAACTACCAGCTAGCGCCATCCACCGGTGAACGGCGGTACTAAACTTCATTCGCTAGTTCCCGAAACGACACACCATGAGGCAAGCTGGACAGAAAAACGTATCTATGTAAAACTGTACCCGTCGGACCCGACTCCGCCGTTGCTTTATGGGCTACCGAAAGTGCACAAGCAGGGAGTTCCGCTACGACCCATCGTGTCGAGCATAGGCAGTGTGACGTACGCGCTGTCGAAACACCTAGCAGGCATCCTATCTCCTCTTGTGGGCAGGTCCGAACATCATGTTAAGGACACGGTGGGTTTCAAAGAGAGTTTACGTGGGGTAACGCTCAGCGACGATGAAACCATGACGTAAAAGCGCTATTCACGTCGGTACCGACAGAGGCAGCATGTGACGTAGCACGCCAGAGACTCGAAGAAGAGTTTTTGGACAAGGAGAGCAGGGTAAGGGCGGAAACAGCACTACTGTTAACGCCAGACCCCTTGAGACCCTATTTTTTCGCGATTATTTTTAAATGCGTGGAATAATTTCAACCATATTTAGGAAGTAGCTGTTTCAAGACCTGCCGAAACTTTTTCTTCAAATACATTTTGTTGTAACTTAAATACTTGTGGCACTTGTCATTGACTCGTAATGTTAACTGTTTTTCCATCCTGGATAGAGGCTTTCTACGTCATATAACATTAGGCTCCGCCCACGACTGCGGCACTGACCCGTGCCCATCAGCGACCTCTGTACAAACGACACCCCTGCCATCTGTAAAGGACTCGCTGACGCTTCACGTGCTATGAATCAATTGCAGCAGATGGTCAAGTAAATGTTATGCTCTTGTTGACTCTTGTATATAGGACCAAGAGGACCATCACTCCTAAACCTACTACTCACACGTGCTTCGAACAAACGTTAACGATTCCTAACAAGTAACAAATAGGATTTTCGATGTAGGGTAATTGAAATACGAGCGAGCCTTATGATGTGAAGCGAAGGCAATTAACTTATTATTGCGTTGTTCGATGGTTGCATAGCGATGTACAAATCGGCAGCAACTTAGTGACAGACATCCGACATCCCATTATCGCATTATCTGCAACGCCTTAGGCTTTAAATACAGGTGAACATTTCCCTAACCTTCATTCATTCATTCATTCATGTATTTAGCAACTTTCCACTTTACAGTGGCTGTTTAAAAGTTACACGTCTTGTGAATAAAAAGGTTGGACATAAAACGAGATAATATAAAAGATGACATGAAAACACACACACACACACACACAACATCACCACCACAAGGGTCAGAGGTCAATCGGCCAACCAGACACATCCGTATCATCGCCTCACATCATATCATCGTCTAGAAGAAAATCTTTAAGACGGCGCTTGAACTGATAGATATGCTGGGCATTACGTACATCGGGTGGGAGGTGGTTGTACAAATCAGCTGCTCTAAAACTAAATCGGCGGACTCCTGAGGTGCTTACAGCATGTGAGCGCCTTAGCTGGTGAGATTGTCTCGTATCATAGCCATGGTCAGCAGTAGTCAGCATCGCGGCTATATCACCTGGCTGACCCGTGAACATGACTCTCTTCAGCAGGCAGAGAGTGTGATAGCTGACCAGTTGATCAGCCCTAAGCCAACCAAGGTCCTTTACAACATCAGTTATGTGATCGTACTTCCTCCTTCCGCTCACAATCCGCGCACAAAAATTGATCAACTTTTGCACTCGGTGGAGCTGCGTTACACCGCAAGTGCCATACAGTGCGATGCAATATCTGATAGAGGAGAGCACAAGTGCGCTGACGATGCGAACCAACGTCTCTTTGGGAAGTACATGTTTGGCATGAGACAGGGCGATCAGTATACCTGTTGACCTCGCTACAAGCTGATCGACGTGTGGTTCGAAGGTAAGGTGTCTATCCATCACCACGCCAAGGTTCTTTACTGTGGGACTCTCAGTAATGACAGCTGAGCCGAACTTAATGCTAACAGGAGGCACATGACGCAGCATAGCCTTCGTACCGAATACAATCAGTTGTGTTTTAGCTGTGTTTACTTTCATGGAGTGGCTAGTGAACCAATCAAGCACGACCGATAAGGTGTTTTCCATGGTTGTCACAAGTTGCTGTAGCTTGTTTTTCTTTCCGGTCACTAAGATTTGCGTATCATTGGCATATTGTACTACCATAGCGTCCCCTGAATACAACGCCAGATCGTTCGAAAAAATTGAAAACAAGAGTGGCCCCAGAGCAGTGCCCTGGAAAACGCCCATCTCATTGGGGAGGCTGCGAGAGCGAACAGTGTGTCCGGAAGGATGCTTAATCTGAACCTGTTGTGTATGTTTACTAAGATAGCTTTCAAACCATGTGGTGTCTACGTTATACATTTTGAGTTTGGATAAGAGCAGCTGATGATCAACAACATCGAAACATTTGGACAAATCGATCAGAACTAACAATGCGATATCACCGGCGTCCATGGCCATGAGGATCTTATCAATGATGACGGTGAGCGCGGTCTCAGTGGAAAAATGCATTCGATAGCCATGCTGTGCATGTGAGAATAAATCGTGTTGGCTAAAATATGAACTAAGTTGAGAGTGGACAATTCTTTCAACTATCTTTGCAATTGCAGGCACCACAGAGATGGGTCTAAATTTGGAAGGATCGTTCAAATCACCGGTCTTTGGCAGAGCCGTGACCAGAGCGTGTTTCCAGGCGTTATGCACTGTCCCACTCATGAGGCTACTGTTGTCGACACCATCGGCGATATAGCTCGGTACGCTACAAAGGATAAAAGATTGATAAATGGAAATAAATGTATTGGGCGTTAGAATGGAGGAGACATATGGACGGTAGACAGATGCAGTCTGTAGTTTGTTGATAGATCGTAGATGAGCAGTTTTAGTTGTAGGTTCCTGTAAAATACACAAATAACAGGCCCTTTTACACCGGTGTGCGCCATAAATCGTCTCATTCATTTCGGTATCAGCAGTATCTGAAATATCTATGGGCATATATCCAAACTAAATACCTTTGAACCTCACACCGGAGTTAATTAGTGCATATCAACAACCAACGAAGCGACAAGTAGCATTTCATGTCCAAAATGTCCAAATAACCTACCAAGGTGTCTTCCTTCGCCGGGTTTCGTGTCGAATTGCGCACAAGGCCGGTCAGCTGGTGACACGCAAAAATAACAAGTATGGGCAGACGAAACTGGCCGACAATAAACAGATTTAAATATGCCTTTGACCAAATGCAATCGGTCACACTTGGAGAAAACGTATCAAATAATTTCACTGCGATATTCCAATGTGAAATACTAATCGAGATAGTATAAATCACTCATTTAACGCAGCTTGGTCGTAATACAGTTCCCAAAACGACCGCACACCCGCGGTGGCAGCACCTTACGGTGACAGCCGAGAACAATGCTGCCATCTATGCTACAGGCGGTCCCGAAGCGCTTCAGGACCATCACATCCTCCCCCCGGTGACGTAACGTCACCTGAGTGATCGCACACGGTACACACGCGTCAGTGATCGCGCACGGTAGTCACGGTACACATCAGTCTCGTTGCCACCGCAACTGTCGACGGTTGTCCACGACTCAGCCGGCAGCCAGGGAGACCAGTCGACTCGCTGCAGCCGACCTTCCCGTTTCTGGCTCAGCAGACAGTACCACGCGCCGTGGCCGAAAGCACCAGCCGCCGCAACCGGCAGCTCGCCGCAGTTCCGGAGACGCCGCTAGGGTCAGGCTTAACACCCGCACCGCCTCCGGCCTGATATGCGCAGTCAGCGTAATCACTAAGTCACTATTCTGAGAGCGACCTAAATCGGCAGCGGCCGACTCCGTGCCCACAGCCACCCCGCAGGCGACGCAGGCACAGCAGACAGCAGCTCGCCGGGGCCGCCCCGTGCCGGCGGCCACTCCACAGGCAGACCAGTTCGCCACAGCTGACCTCGCGCCGGCGGCGACTCCGCAGGCGACGCACACAGCAGCTCGCCGCGACCGACTCCGCCAGGTCGCCAGCCCCGCAGTTGGAGGCATGCCGGCTCCTGCAGTCCACCAGATCGTCGTCCAGGACTGCTGCATCCAGAAGTCGTCCCTCTCCAGTTCAGGAAGGGTTAGGAATGACATCCTAGGAGGAACAAAGACAGAATAACAGGAAGTTAAGGAAAATAGACATGAGGATAGATACGATTCATGTGCACACGATGTCAGCGATCAGCAGTCATCACCACACTCACTCAGCTTCCTCTAACAGACACACTTTGCTGACGGGGCGGTGGTAAGTGCCTCCCCCCGCTGCCTTCAGCTCAACCGATCGGACGGTTCCGTCTGAGCCCGGCAACACTCGAACAACTCGGGCTAGAGGCCAGAATCCTCTCGGCGAATCGCTCTCAACCATCAGGACGACGTCACCTTCTTGCAGATTTCTTGTTTTGCGGAGCCACTTCTGACGGCTCGTCAGAGTTGGAACATACTCCCGCCGCCACCGCTTCCAGAACAGGTCAGCCAGAACTTGTGACTGCCGCCAACGCCGTCTGCTGCTCAACTCGCAGGGCTGGAAGACTCCGGGCGAGATGTTGACGATTGAACACCCCAGTAGAAGATGGTTCGGTGTCAGTGGTTCTACGTCAGTGCCATCAGGGCTAACATATGTAAGAGGCCGTCCGTTGACCATGGCCTCGACTTCAAGTAGCGCAGTGTGAAGCACTTCGTCGCTCACACATTGCGATCCGATCGTCACCTTCAGGGCTCTCTTGACGCTACCGACCAGTCTTTCCCAGGCGCCGCCCATGTGACTTGCTCCGGGAGGCATAAACATCCACTTGATGTGATCTTGGCTCAGATGATCCGAAATGCGAGCCTGATTAAACTCCTGCAGCGATTCCCGGAGCTCACGCTCTCCTCCTACCAGGTTCGTTCCGTTGTCAGAAAACAGGGCATCTGGCTTTCCTCGACGCGCGGAAAACCTCCTCAGGGCCATTATAAAACTGTCAGTATCTAGAGTGTTTGCGATCTCTAGATGCACCGCGCGCGTTGAAAGGCAGGTAAACAAGACACCGTACCGCTTCTCGGTCTTTCTGAACTTTTTCACCATCATCGGTCCGAAATAGTCAACACCGACTGTGCTGAAGGCTCTTGAAGTGTTGAACCTTCCGACTGGCAGGTCAGCCATCCTCGGGACTTCCGGACGTGCTCTTCTGTTTCTGCATACGGTGCACTGGTGCAAGATTCTTCGGACGGTTGACCGAGCCTTTGTGAACCAGTAAGCTCTTCGTACTTCTGTCAGAGTCCTTTCTTGACCCGAGTGCAGGACCTTTGAGTGGTTGTACGTCACGATCAGGCGTGTGACATCATCTCTGGCCGGGAGGATCGCTGGATGACGCGTCGAATAGGGCACTGGAGCCTTGCTGAGGCGCCCGCCGACGCGCAGCACGCCATCACCGTCCAGGAAAGGCGACATCTGAGTCAGTCTTCCCTCAGACCCCGCTGGGTTGCCGTTCCGGAGAGCGGCTACTTCTGTGGTGAAGCTCCGCGCCTGACAGTCTAAGACGATCTTCTTTTCAGCCTCCTGAATCTCGTCTGCTGACAGCGGCCCCTGGCGCTTCCAGTCAGCTTTAGACGGGCAGTTTGATGCGATGAAGTTCGTCACGAATCGTAGCATCCACGCTACAACTCTTCGGTAGCGCGTCCATGAAGAGAATTTCCCTGCGTCAGGAAGCACAGTCACTTCGAGCGCTGGCTTCGTCGTGAGAACTTGATTTGTTCTTACTTCTGGGTCGTCCGCCAATACAGCTTTGCACGGTGGGTTCTCAGGCCAGTGCTTTTCGTCCTTCAGCAGGAAGTCGGGACCATCCTTCCAGCGCGAGTCTGCGGAAAGATCCGTGGCAGAGGCTCCCCTGGAGCAGACGTCAGCTGCATTCGAGCTGGACGGGACGTGCCTCCACTGATCTGGACGAGACAGCTCTCGGATTTCGGCCACCCGATTGGCCACAAAGGTGTGGAATCTACGGCTGTCATTCCTCACATACTGCAACACAACAGTACTGTCCGTCCAGAACAGAACTCGTTCCACCTTGACGCTCAGCTCCTTCAGGATCATGTTGGCCAATCTGACTCCCAATACCGCTGCTTGTAGCTCGAGCCTGACAATGGAGATTTGCTTGAGAGGCGCCACTCTCGTCTTCGACATGGCCAGGGAGCAGATACTGGGGCGATCGGGCATTATCGTCTTGACGTACGCCACTGCTCCGAACGCCTGCTGAGAGGCGTCACAGAATATGTGCAGCTCTCTGGTACAGTCCGAGCTGATCTCTGTGCCTGAGAAACACCGCGGGACGGTCATCAATTCCGTGGAAGGGAGCTCACCCAGCCACTTCTTCCAGATCCGCGACTCCTCCTCTCCCAGCTGATCGTCCCAGCTGTAGTTACCTGCCCAGAGGCGCTGGATCAGGATCTTGGCCTGCAGAGAGAATGGCGATAGCAGCCCCAGGGGGTCGTAGAGACGAGCGACTCCCCGAACTACTCCACGTTTCGTCTCTGGTACGTGTGGGTCGATGCTTCTCACTCCCAGCGTGTCTTCGGCCGTGTTCCATGTGCAGCCCAGCACACTCTGAGTCGTGCCAGCTTGAGCTCGCTCTTCCTGTTTGATCTGTTCCATGACTCGTTTCGAGTTCGTCGTCCACTTCGTTAGCCTGAACCCGCCTTTTCTCAGGAGTTCTGTCATTTCCGTCTGCATCTCGACAGCTTTATCTTCAGTTTCTGTAGCGTGCACGAAGTCGTCCATGTAGAAACTGTTCAATGCTGCCTCTTTAGCTGCTTGTCCTGCTGCAGTGCTGCTGCTGCAGTCTCTGGCCGTCTGCTGCAGGACGAAACTGGCCGACGCTGGACTGCTTTTGGCTCCGAAGATTGCAACTTCCATAGTGTAACACTCCGGGTTCTTCGTCACGTCCAGGTCTCTCCAGAGGTACCGCAGGGCCGCCTGGTCTCGCTGTATGATCCTGACCTGGTGGTACATGGCTTCAATGTCAGCAGTCAGGGCTACTGGTTCTTCTCTGAATCTTAAGAGGATGCCTGGAAGGTTCTTCAAGAGGTCGGGTCCCGTGAGAAGCATGTCATTCAGCGACACGCCTTCACACGTTGCGGCAGCGTCAAATACTACCCTCAGTTTCCCCGGCTTCCTTGGGTTCGTCACACCGTGGTGAGGGAGGTACCAGGTCCTGGGATGCGATTCTTGCTCCTCTTCAGTCTCCAGCTTGCGTGCAAACCCGAGCTCAACGTATCCGTCCATGACCTTCTTGTACGCCTCGGCTTTCTGTGGTTTCCGCAGTAGGCTCTTCTCCAGTGAATGCAGGCGGCTGACGGCTACTGCTCTGTTGTCTGGCAGGTGTACTTCATCGCTCTTCCAAAGGAGCCCCGTCTCATAACGATTGTCCAGTCTGCGTGTGGTGTTTTTCATGACTTCCACTGCTCTGATGTCTTCGGGAGATTTGGCGTCATCGCCTTCAAACTTGCACCCGAAGGACTCAGTGGTCCACCACTGCTGTAGCATTTTCGACATCTCGTCTTCGTCTGGTGACTTCCTGCTGATCAGCATCACCTGCCTCTTCCGCTCAGGAATAAATCCCTTCACTGAACCGGCCAGAGTCCACCCGAAGGCAGTTCTGATCGCCACCGGTTGGCCCTTCTTTCCCTGCTTCACTTCGAGTTGTAGCAGAGCTTCGAGGACATTCGCTCCTAGAAGAAGCTCCACCGTCTTACCGGAACAGTCTGGCAGATCGAGATCTTGCACGTGTTTCCAGTCAGGCATCTTGTGGGGGATCTCAGGTACTGTGACGTTGATTTTCTTTACGGAAAATGCCTCAGGAACTATCACACTTGAGCCATCGCCGAATGACGCTTTCAATTCGAGCTTCAGCTTCACTGAGGTCTGAAGGGGTCCGCATCCCTCGACGCTCTGCAGGCGGAGGGTTTGCCGCTCTCCATGAAGACCCAGTTCGGTCACCACATCTTCGGACACCAACGAGGTCTGCGAACCCGGATCCAACAGGGCACAAACCTGCTTGGACTCGCCGTTGCTGCCGAGGATGGTGACCGGCACCACTTGCAGCAGTGTCGTGACATCATCGGTTTTCAGAGACGCTGCAGCGACTACGCGCTCACGGCTGGTCCGTCTGCCGACCCTCTTGCTGCCGTGGAGTGTTGCGTGGTGCCTCATCGTGCAGTTGTCGATTCCGCATGGCTTTGCTGAACGACAACGCCGCACGCCGTGCCCCGTCTGCAGGCAATAGAAGCAGCGCCCGACTTCGGCGATCCAACGCGCTCTCTCGTCAACTGCCTTCTGCAAGAATAAAGGGCAGTCAGTCACCTCATGCCGTTCCTTACAGCATGGACAGTTTCCTGTTGTCCGTGCGTCGGTGACCAGAGTGCTCCTCTGCTGGGCAGTCTTCTGAATTGGCTTCAGCTTGTTTTCTTTCGGAGTCCTCCTTGGCTGTGACACAGCCGCATAGTTGACTGCTACCCGCACCTTCTTCTGAAGCCAGACATCTAGGTCGATGAGGTTGGGTCTCTGGGTCAGATCGAGGACGTGCGCTCCCCATTCGTGCTTTAACTCCGGAGGAAGCTTCATTACTACCCTTCTGAGATTTTCATAGCTTCTGAGATCTCCCTCATAGCCAAAGTTCTTGAATATGACTACGGCACAGTGGATTGATGAATGGAGCTTTTCCAGTAACACAGGATCCAGGTGGGATGGGTTAGGGCAGGAGAAGATATTCTGGAGGTGGGCGTGCACGATGTCCTCCTGCTGACCGAACCTCTCTTCCAGCGTCTTCAGGGCCTCCTCGTACAACCTCCCATCGAACAGCATCCCACTGATGGCCTGCTCGGCCACACCTGTTACGGCGGCCTGCAGGTGCACCATCTTCTCAGTTGGAGTCAGGGATGGTTGGTTGTGTACCATTGTTCGGAAGAGAGCTGACCACTTTGGCCATTCAGCTGGCTCACCTCCAAACTTTGGCAGGTTCAGGCGAGGGAGACTCTGACGCACAGCCTCAGCATGCAGTCCAGACTGGAAAGCGCCCGTGCCACCACTGCCCTGGGCCCGTTGAGCAGTAGTGGTGCCGGTGCTGGGTCCCTGCTCCACTTGGGTCCCTGGCACACCACCACCAACCTGGGCCTGGTGAACAGCAGCGGTGCCGGTGCTGGGTCCCTGCACTTGGGTCCCTGGCATACCACCACCGCTCCTGAAGACCTGAAGAGCTGTAGTGCCAGTGGCTTCTTCATTTTCTTCATTTTCGGCTTCACCGAAATCCTCACGTCTGTCCCAGTTGAGCGAGTCTTCCTTCAACAGCTTTGCACGCAACTCTGCTGCAGCCTGAGCATCTTCAGCTTCCTGTAACTTCAGCATTCGTTGCAGCTGCTGGTCTTCTTCCTCGGTCTTGAGTCGTCTCTGCAGTTGCTGCAGTTCCAGTTTCTTCACCATGGCATCCACCTCTGCTACTCGTGAGGCTGCCGAAGATGACTCAGAATGATGTGACTGTCCGGACACTTCAGATGCCGGGTCGTCTTTTCTGTCCTTCAGATACCCTTCTATTCTACTGACTGCCTCCTCATGTTGCCGATCAGCTTCTGCTTGATATGCCTTCACCTGTTCCAGCTCATCTTCTGACGTCAGCATGGATGCAATATTATCAGATGCCTCTTCCACTTGCTGAAGTGCTTTGTCCAGCTCCGAGATGATAGAAATCAGGTGGGTCCGGCTACCTCTGTTGTCTATCAGAACATAGGCCCTTCTCCTTGTCCTGGTCAAGTTTGCCAAACATCTCCCCCGCTTCTGCTTCAACTGTGCAATTGACTGAGGCATCGTGTGTACAGGACTCAGTTCAATCATGAATCAGGGAGTGCAGAATGGCAGTGGCGCAGCCAGGATTTCGTTTCGGGGGGGTCATCGCCTCCAAAGCGGGCCCCCTAGTGTGCGGGCCCCCCCCACTCATTTTTCAGAATCTCTCCATATTTCATACACAATCTGCTGAGCGGGCCCCCTTTACCTGCACGATAACCCTGAGCGAGTATGAATCAGAAAATTTGGATAGAGCAATAGCTCGGTAATCACCCGGTGTTCAATTTTTACGCAAATTGACCACAACAGAAATATGTTACTATGACGTATGAATTTGTATCTTTCGAGGCCGAAAAGTGCCCCTTCCGCAATATGCATAGCATATATGCAATCGGAACTGTTGCCTGCTTCTGTCGGACAAGATTTACCTACCTACCCTAGATATTTCATGACCCTGACCCAAATGACCTTTGACCTACTTTCCGAGACCATGTTTGGCCAGAATCGCGGTTCGGCGTATGCCGGCTCGCATTAGCCGCGCGTTTGCAGTCCTTTCGAGTTTCGTGGTTTCAATTGTTCAAACATGTGATTTGATGTTGCTCCCATGCATAAGGGTGATGTCAATGTCACCTGAAGGTCAGGTCAGGTCAGGTCATTGACTTATGATGACCTCGGTACACTTTTTCAAGTAATGCATGTTTCTAGGCTAGTTTTTTTTTAAAGCTGAATTCGATTTTAACAACCATTTGAACATTTCAGAAGTAGTTTTGGTGCCTTCGTAACATGTTACGAAGCTGTCGGAGGCGGTTGACACGTAGGTACTACGAATACCCGGCAGGACCCCTACTGGTTGACATGGCCTGACCTGACCCGACCTGGCCGAAATGCATAAAGACATCATCTGTGATCAAAACTAACATAATATTCGTGATCAGCACCCCGACAAATACCCTATAGCAGCCACATTTTACGACGTTCTAACAGGTCCCGATTTTCCCGACATTTGGGTCATTGACCTGACCTGGAAGGTCGACCAATGACCTAGGACCTTGGAATTGGGTACTATCGGCTTCCTCTCGTCACGGGCAACACGCTCGTTTTTTTTTTTCCGCGAAGCTCTAGCTCGATCATGGGCCAAACGCGAGGAAGGGGTCGTAACCTCCCTCCCTTGTGCCGTCGAAGGACGCAAAATGGCCTGAGCCGCCGATGGTTCGCGTTCACATGGGTCATGTATTGCCTTGGGCCAGGTTTGTTGTGGTGTGGTGATGTGGTGACGTAGATTCTGTCTGTTACCGTGGTTCCGGCATGGTGTTACTTATCCCGGGGTAGGTACAGGCCAGACCGTTGCACCTACATAGTGCGCTAAACTTTGCGCAACTTATAGAACAAGGATGGGGAACGTGCCTGTGAGGAGTCTCAGCTCGATCGGGCCGGTGGTGAGCACATGGCGCGTGCTCAAAAAGTGCGAAGTCGCGTCATAGACTTTACATGTATAAATCGGCTTGCAAAATTGGGCAAAAATGGCTAAATTTGCCCGACACGGGTCCGGTCCCCGTGCAGTATCTCGGTAACCGTGGGTCCGATCGGCATGGGGAACACAGTATTAGAGATGTCAATCGGATACCAACTTTTTGGTATACCGATACCAAACCGATACCTACCAACTTAGTATTTGGTATTTCAATCCTAATGTGTTTGGTATTTTGTTGGTATCATGAATCCTCACTAATGCATAAAAGGCTAAGAAATCGGTAAAAAGTTGGTATTTCTCTCATGTTCCCAAGTTGGTTTGGTTTCGGTATTTCCCCATGGTTTTGGTTGGTATTTGGTTTGGCATCGGTATTCCGATTTTCTGTAATTGACATCACTACAGAGTATCGTATATGAGGATCGAACGGGCTATCGAATGGTGAGCGGTGCAGGGATGGCACGCGCCACGTGCACCCGTGAGGGCACTTATGCTTGAAAAATTGACCTTTCGGACGGATTTTGGAATTAATGCTAATTTCGGGTGACTGTCAGACGGAGCGGGTTCAAACAACGCCTGTTGGCAAGAGAAATGTACCGCCTCTCAAGGAAAATTTGTGAAAAGGTAATTGATCAAAAACAATGTGGAACAAATCACTGAAGAAAATGGTATTTGTTCATGACTTACTTAATTACACGGGTTTTGCTGCACAACCTGATACGTTAGACAATTAAAAATGGCATCGTTGGAAAGAGCATTCAATTTTGTCCAAGATCCAATCATCGCTTTTGCAAGACGAGCAACAGTATTCTTAAAAAATATAAATTTTTCAAACCTCTACATGGCAATTCATCTATGGCTCTCATTTTTCAATGACCTACGTCAACCTATGCTATAAAATACACTTGGCAAGTTCTATAGTAGACGTATGGTTATCAGACACGAGCACCTCGATGCGATGGATTTTTTTTTCCCAAAACAAAATGCTTAGCCGTCAAAAGACAACCGACCGAAATGTATACATGACCCACGGACACAAGACCAACCAAACGCCCACCGATCGAAAATATCCCGCATTCGGGTTGCGAAGCAAGCAGGTCACCCTAGCGGGCCCCATCCACCCGGGGGGCCCGGGCCCCATCCACAGGGGGCTGGTCCCCGTCCACACGAGGGCCCAGGCTCCGTCCACCCGAGGCTCCGGGCCCCGTCTACCCGGGGCTCCGGGGCCCGTCCATCAGAGAGCCCGGGCCCCGTCCACCCGAGGGCCCGGGCCCCGTCCACCCGAGGACCCGGGCTCCGTCCACCCGGGGCTCCGGGGCCCGTCCACCAGGGACCCGGGCCCCGTTCTCCCGGGGGCCCGGGTCCAATCCACCCGGGGGCCCGGGCCCCATTCACCCGAGGGCCCGGGCCACGTCCACCTGGGCTCCGAGTCCGGGCCCCGTTCTCCCGGGGGCCCGGGCCCCGTCCCCTCGGGGCCCGGGGTCCGTACTCCCAGGGGCTTGGGGCCGGACCCATCCACTGGGGGCACGGGCCCCGTTCTCCCGGGGACCCGGCCCCATCCACCCGGGACCCGGGCCCCATTCACCCGAGGGCCCGGGCCCTATCCCCACGGGGGCCCGGGGTCTGTAATCCCGGGGGCTTGGGCCCCATCCACCCAAGGGGCCCGGGACCCATCCACCCAGGGGGCCCGGACCCATCCAACGGGGGGCCAGGGCCCCATCCACCGGGGCCCGGGCCCTACCCACCCGGGGGGCCCGGACCCATCCAAGGGGGCCCGGGTCCCATCCACCAGGGGGCCCGGGCCCAATCTCCCGGGTGCCTGGGCCCCATCCACCCGGGGCCCGGGCCCCGTCTCTCTCTCTCTCTCTCTCTCTCTCTCTCTCTCTCTCTCTCTCTCTCTCTCTCTCTCTCTCTCTCTCTCTCTCTCTCTCTCTCTCTCGAGCGGGCCCCTGACAGAAATTTCGGGGGGGTCAGCTGACCCTCTGACCCCCCCCTGGCTGCGCCACTGCAGAATGGTCAGGTATGATCAGGCATATGGGCAAAACAATCACGTCAAGGTAACAGGCACAGGTGGTTAAAATACAAAGCAGGCACAGTCGGGTAAAATCATGGGTGAATCAAGACAGGTCAGTAGGGCATCACTTATGAGAACATAGGTATCTTCATTAACTTTGAGTTCATTACAGCACGTTGGAGCTCAAAGGATACCTTGGAACTGTTGTCGACACCATCGGCGATATAGCTCGGTACGCTACAAAGGATAAAAGATTGATAAATGGAAATAAATGTATTGGGCGTTAGAATGGAGGAGACATATGGACGGTAGACAGATGCAGTCTGTAGTTTGTTGATAGATCGTAGATGAGCAGTTTTAGTTGTAGGTTCCTGTAAAATACACAAATAACAGGCCCTTTTACACCGGTGTGCGCCATAAATCGTCTCATTCATTTCGGTATCAGCAGTATCTGAAATATCTATGGGCATATATCCAAACTAAATACCTTTGAACCTCACACCGGAGTTAATTAGTGCATATCAACAACCAACGAAGCGACAAGTAGCATTTCATGTCCAAAATGTCCAAATAACCTACCAAGGTGTCTTCCTTCGCCGGGTTTCGTGTCGAATTGCGCACAAGGCCGGTCAGCTGGTGACACGCAAAAATAACAAGTAGGTATGGGCAGACGAAACTGGCCGACAATAAACAGATTTAAATATGCCTTTTACCAAATGCAATCGGTCACACTTGGAGAAAACGTATCAAATAATTTCACTGCGATATTCCAATGTGAAATACTAATCGAGATAGTATAAATCACTCATTTAACGCAGCTTGGTCGTAATACAGCTCCCAAAACGACCGCACACCCGCGGTGGCAGCACCTTACGGTGACAGCCGAGAACAATGCTGCCATCTATGCTACAGGCGGTCCCGAAGCGCTTCAGGACCATCACAGCTACTATTGATGACGTCAAGTAATGGGAAGCCAATGCCTCCAAAAGATCTCTGCAATAACCGAATACTGACATCATCTAATCCACTGGACGTCGTCGGATTCATGGCTACCGTGGCTGTCATGAGTTCATCCAACGACACAGGATGCACCTTGAAAGAACATGTCATGACTCTGTGCAATCTCGTTGGAAGAGAGGTACTATGACTGGGCACGCTGGCTGCAGTCAATGGCCCTACATTCACAAAGTAGTTGTTTAACGTATCGGGATGAATGTTAGGGGTGACCGACGTGGCCTCTTTAGAGCCAAAATCGACTTGACACAGCGCCACATGCCAGAATGTCCCGCTTTGTCAATCTCCCCTCTGATATGCTCGCGACAGTCTCGTCTGATGGCCGCCCGCGTCAGTCTGTTC